CCCACGCCCGAAGATAGCAGGTTTCCTCGAATGCTCGAGATATCTTCCTTAATGCTACGCCTTAGACCACTCGGCCATCTTGCCTTCGATGCTTCTCATCAAGATGATTTGCATATATAAAGTGTAACTTTCAATCGTTCAATGCTCGTTCAGGACCGAATATATGCTCACCCACCACAGGCCATGGATGCACTAGCTCAATACAACAAGGGTATCATAATTGCTGCGCGTGATAAAAAAAAATGGCGCCGATCAGCTACAGAGAAGATAAGTCCGCATGGCTATGCGCACACTATGGAGGTAAGCACCTAGCTAGTCGCAGTAGTGGCAACAGGAGCAAGCGCGGCGGATGCAGCATCGGCCTTGAGCTTCTCGGCCCGTCTTTCGGCCTCGACCGCCCTCTCGATGGTGTCCTGCAGTTCTGCGCGGCGCATGGCGTTGTTGCGCTCGAAGCCCTGAATCAATAAGCGTACACTTTCGATCGAGGCCATCAACATCTCTGGGTCAAAGTTGAGAGCCGTCGGACCTGGGGCATGTACGCCAGACACGGCCGCTGTGGCTGCCTGCTTCGATGCGTGGTGGCCAGCGTCTAGTGACCCAGTGGCTCTCTCCGTTGTCGGAAGTGCAGCCTCAACCTCGTCGGTTTCCGCCTCGAAGCTCTCGTCATTATGTGCCACGGTGAACTCGTTGCCAAGAGAGCTTCGACCAGCTGTAGCGGAAGCGTACATCTTTGTCGGGCTTGCAAGTGGTGTCTGCATGCGAGCCAAGGCCGGGATCACAACATCGTCGTTGTTGATGGCCGTCATGGTTTTGCTCGGGCTCATCTTGGAAGGCGAGAAAGGGTTGATTTCAGCATCACTGCCTAGCGTAGGAGCGAAGCGACCCTTGTTCTGGGCTCTCGGGCTTGCGTTGCGACCCGGCACCGCACTTAGGACTCGAGCGACGGCACTGAATTCGCGAGGCTCCTTCTCGGGACTCGAGGGGGCTTCTTTGACAGGGTTGAGTGGGACAGCAGCGACAGAGCCGTGAACCACGGCTTCCCAGTCGTCTTCGCCGTACTGCTTTGCGAGGAAGTCAGACATGACTTTCATTCTGCGGCGCAGGCCCTCGACCTCTATCGTCTTGTCCTCGTTGTCCCTCTGCAAGCCCTTCAGAATCATCTCTTGTGAAAGAAACTCGCGCTCTAGCTTGATTGCAGCGGCTCTTGTCAGCCCACCCTCGCCTCCACGGTCGCCTCGGCCTGTTCGTGTCTTTTCCCGCTCGGCTTGCAGCTCTCGCTGCAGCTCCGAATTCTTCTTTTCGAGCTCGAGGATATCTTGGTTCCTGCGCTGCAGGGCATCCATCAGTTCGTCAACTTCTGCCCAAGCGGCCTCCTCTCCATTCTCGTCCTCGGCGTGTACGTCATAGGACTCATTGTTGTTGTGATCGTCAGGAAGATCGACCTCATTTTCGTCCTCTCTGATGGCCTCGGGTGTGCGGTTTGCCGAGCCGGCGTTGTCAGAGATCAGGGATGCGCGACGAGAGGCTCTCACAGTGGACGAGACGGACGTCGATGCTGAGCTGTATTCAGTTGGGTCATGGCTTGGGAGGATGGAGCTTCTTCGATTGATGCGCTTGAGCAGATGGCGTCGTGGTGTCTCTGGTGCCAGGCGAGAGGGATCCATTCTCTCCAAGTCCAGTTCACGCGTTGGTCAATGAAAAGGGTAGAGTGTTGGCCGTGTCGTTTCCGATGGTTGCTGATGTATGCTGAGACGAGATCTGTCGTTGAGATGCAGGAGTCGAGTGATGAGCGTGGTGTGGTGTAAGTCAAAAGATCAGGCCTAGCTGAGCCCGAGTTCTGGTTGCACAGGTCGAAGTGTTGATCTTTCAAGTGACACTTGCAGCACCGAATCGGGCCCATTCCCGATCAGAATGGACCACCCTCCCTTCCCCCAATTTCCCAAGAGCACTGCTTGAATGCAGGTGTTGGACTATCCAGGACGAATGAAGCGCGCCGGCGCGTTTACGCGAATGGCAAAGCCTTTCTGCACGACTCACCTCGAGCCTGCATCACGTGTATGTCCTTGGCTTCTGCAGGGTCACACATTTCGAAGTCTTGCCCTTCTTGCGTAGTCTTGTCCAAGCTTCTAGAGCGATTGTATGTTGTAACGCGCCAGTCGACTCTCTTGCTCCCCTTGCCATCGTCACGATCTTCATAGCGGCTGGTGACGCATCTCGGGAGTATTGAGCCGCCCGTACAACAAGCCTGCACCGATGCCATGGACATCGATGTAAAGGCCGAAGATGGCTCGGCCTCAACCCCATCAGAGCCGCCATACTTTGAATTGTCTTCGCTGGGCTCGTCGTCTTCGGCGAAACGTAAGTATGACGACCTCCGTAGTCAGGAAAGCGATCCAGCCTATGGCTCTTCTCCGCCGGCCTCATCGCCGCAGCGGCTACCGTCCCCGCCCCACGAGCGACGGTCACTGTCATCCACGCCAGCTCCAATCGCTTCTACGGAGGCGCAGAAGGCCTACATTGCTCGCACTGCACCACATCTACTTGAGCGAACTCCCACACCATCTGGCTCACGCAATTCGTCGCAGCCGCCATCCGGTCGCTCTAGTCCGAGCTCCGATGACGACCGACTCACTCCGGACGCACCAGGATCCGCGACATCCGCAGCCAACCAGTCTCACCACATACTACCTCCGGGCTATCGCGGACCAGTACTGAGGAGATCAGATGCGGAGGACATCGCTCCTCGCCCCGCTCTTGTTCCCGCAGTCGGATCGGCAACCATGTACAACACAGCCAACTTTGCCGTCAACCGAAATGGGTGGAGGTATACAGCCGCAGGGCCCGCCAGCCAAGATCTGCCTAGAACAATGTTCAAGACGCTGGAAACAGCGCCAGAGAGCATACACTGGTGCTGGTCAGATCGTTCGCCATTCACCAAAATCTCTGCCGATGCATCCGTTGTCTCGACGGACAAAGGATTTCGCAGCGCGAGATCCAACGTCGGCGTCCGATCGGGTGAATGGTACGCCGAGGTCGAGATTCTGTCTCCCGAGCAGCTTGTTCCAGGGACCGGATCTCCAGGACCGATGCCAGTGCACATGCGAGACGGGGCCCACGTGCGTGTCGGCTGGGGGCGCCGAGAGGCTCCTGTCAATGCACCCGTTGGATTCGATGGCTACTCGTACGGCTTTCGTGACCGGACGGGAGATAAGGTGACCTTGTCTCGTCCGACATCCTATGGCAAGCCGTTCAGGGCAGGTGACGTGGTGGGCATGTACATTAAACTTCCAGAAGAGCGCGTTCCTGAGGACGAAAACGATCCCGCCAATATCAAGCGCGAACGGATCGCCATTCGGTACAAGAATCAGCTGTACTTTGAGAGTTTGGAATACCCACGAAGCCGAGAGATGGAGCAGCTCATGGAGCGAAGTCGCAAAAGCAATAGCATGGAGGAGGCACTGCAGGGCATAGAAGGGACCGGCATCTTTGAACCGTCAAGCAGCATGGCGGCGGGATCGGAGGGGGCCAGTGGCAGTGCCACGGCTAAATCAGGGCCTTCAACAGCGGCAGGAGGCGGTGGCAGCGCAAAGGTGAAAAACAGCCGCAAGAATCCAGCAAGCAAAGACAAAGCCTCGGGTCCTCCGAAGCCATCACTTCGGCCGGTGCCGAAGCTAAAGGGCTCCAAAATCGGATTCTGCATCAACGGCGAGCCGCAAGGCATTGCGTTCCGCGACCTCTTTGACTTCCGGCCGCTGCGAGTTCGGGGTTTCACAAACCTGAAGGCCAGCGCGCTCAAGCTCGGTAACGGAAAGACGGGCAAGGGGAACTCGGCATCCAAGAAGGGCGAAGGATCCGAGCTCAACATCAACATCAAGGCTCGTGAAAACGTATTCGACGACGGAGCGCTCGGTTATTTCCCCTTTGTTTCCGTGTACGGCGGCGCGAGAGCTAAACTAGTGGCTGGCGAAGAGGGGTTTCGGTTCCCACCACCAGACAACCTCGAAGCAGCACTAGAAGCAGCGAGCTGTCAGGCAGGGCATGATGGCGCCTTGGCCGATCAGAAAGAGGAAGGCCGCTCGGCTGCTCAGAGGACGTGGAAGCCTCTATGCGACCGCTACGCCGAGCATCTAGCCGAAATGTGGCGGTATGATGTGGCGGACGAGGCCAAGGTCGCAGCCGTTGCCGCCAAGGAAGCCGAGGAGAAGGCGCGCAAGGCACAACTGGCCAGAGACCGCTATGCTGCCAAGGCCAAACCCCTCGATGAAATCGTCGACAGCGCCATGGCTGACCAAGCGATGACACCGGAAGCGGACCCGCGCGGTGTCAAGCCTGCTACGGCTATGATCGAAGATGAGGATGACGGGGATCGCACAGTCACTGATCACCCTGATCGTGGCCGTTTCGATAGCAGTGCTTATGAAAAAGGTGCAATCCACGGTTGGGATCGAGACAGCGCAGACACGACACCACACGAGACGCCAGCGTCGCCCCCGCCTAGGTCGCCGAGCTCACGTGCACAGTCTCCTCCAATCCACCGGTATGCGACTTCCGATATCAACACGCCACCATACCATAGTCACAGCGAGCACGACTCCATGCAAATCGACAACGACATCGACACACAGCCGCATGCTTTGGCCGATCACGAACACGCTGCCGATGCACACGTACAACGCAGTCTCTCAGCGGCGCCGACAGATGCCTCAGAAGGGCAGCGTTCCGAGTCGAATCTTGATATGGCCACTAGGCTACCGTTGCTTGGTGCATCCGACGATGTGGAGATGGCCAACGAGCAAGACTGATATACAGTAGTCCGTCACCCAGATAACGCATAAACATTGTACTTTTACCCTCACTTGGATTCTGAATCGTATACACCAGCCCGACCGAGCCTCGTATCTAGACCTGGCATTTTCGATCGCGAGAGCCTGATCTGTGTTCTGCTATATATTATGGTAGCATTATATACGGCATTTTCCCCGCTTGAGACCATCTCCGGACCGGACATAGCTCAGTTGGAAGTAGCGATGGTTTGTAATGGCAACCCTAATCCGGTATTCAACGGAATTTCACCATAGGTCGCCGGTTCGATTCCGGCTGTCCGGACTCTTTTTTTATTTTGCTTTTTTCCCCCACCTTCGAGTTAATTTTCAACTGAACTGGCCTCGCCACTCTCTATTCTGTTTCACATTTTCTTATCAGACAGACGAGAAAGACGAATAGCCTACTGGACGACTGCGTCATGATACGACAAAGAAAGACCAAGGTACACAATATGGATATACGAGAACCTTTGAAATACATGGCAGAGGTACTGCAGGTATATCTTGCGCGGAAAGACAACGAGTCTACGTGGACGACTTTGCATGCTTCTTGGCCTTCTTGTCGGCTTTGATCTGAAGCTCGGCCTTTTTCTTGTTTCGTTCTTGTCGCTGGCCGAATTTCTCGTCGTGAAGTGCCATGGTAGCCACGCGTTTTGCGGTTGCGACGATCTTGAGTTTTTCGAGGACGACTTCTTCTTGCAAGTTCTCGAGCTCTGTGAGCTTGACGTTGATTTTCTCTTCGATGGATTGCACGACTTCAATGTCACGCTCGGTGATGAAGGAGACAGCGAAGCCACGCTTGCCGTTACGGGCTGTTCGACCGACACGGTGTACGTAGTCTTGCCATGCAGTGGGCAGGTCCCAGTTGATCACGAGCTCTACATCGGGAATGTCGAGACCTCGCGATCCAACGTCGGTGGCAATGAGGATCGGCACTCGTTGCGCTCGGAATGTTTGCAGATTCTCGCTGCGTTCCGATTGGCGAAGGTGCGAGTGCAGAGATACATTCGGAATCTGTAGCTCGGTCAGCATCCTCGACAGAGTCGCTGCCGTCTTGCATCGTGCGGTAAAGATGATAGTGGCCGGATAGAATAGGTCTTCTTCTTCGTCATCGTCGTCATGGCGATTCGGCCGCGTCGACTTGCCCTTGCGTTCTCGCTCTGCTCTTCGCTCCTCCTCGGCCTGCTTCTTTGCTTTGAGTTTGCGCACGCGCTCCGACGATGGCTCGATGGGTGGGTTTCGCATGACGTGGTAGAGATAGGGCTCGCGAATGTGTGATGGCACGAAAATGTATCTCTGCTCCAGCGTCTCGGGTGTCTTTGTGTCCATCTCGATCTTGCAGACCATCGGTGGCATTTTGCCTTCTGGACGTTGTGCCTTTGCAAAATCTTCGACCTCGGGTGTCAGTGTTGCCGTAAAGAGAAGCGTCTGAAGTGAGCGTGGAGGAAGAACGGAACGCAGATAGTCGAGCTCAGGCTTAAAGGTAGGCGTGAGGAGTCGATCGGCCTCGTCAAGCACGAGAAACTTGCAGCGCGACAGTCCCCATTCCTGTCCTCCTCCGCTGCGAAGATGATCGACCAGTCGACCAGGTGTGGCGACAATAACGTGTGGACGAGTGTTGGCGAGTTCGGACGCCTGCTTCATCATGTCCATGCCGCCAAGAACAAGCGCGCAACGGAGACCCATTCTCGCACCCTCTCCGACAGCAACAAATTGTTCGTATAGCTGAACACCAAGCTCGCGGGTTGGTGTCAAGATGACGGCGAAGCCACCCACCATGTCCTTAAGCAGACGATTGAGGATCGGCAGAGCAAAGCACAAGGTTTTACCGGAACCTGTTTGCGCTCCGCCGACGAGATCACGCCCTTCAAGCACTGAGGGTATCGTCAAGGACTGGATAGGAGTGGGCACACGGATCTGAAGAGAAGCAAGCGATCGGATGAGCATGGGCGAGATGCCAATGGAGGAGAACGAGGTGTGCTTCGGTTGATCCGACGGCGTTTTGGTGACTGTGATGGATTCTGTCTGCGTCGCTGCTGAGGACGGGCCAGCCGCAGCTGAGCCGTTGGCTACTGGCGGCATTTTGGACGTGATGTGCTGGAGCAAGAATGATGGAGTCACAGCGTACAGATGATGGTCACAAGTTGAACTGTGTGAGTACACACCGAAGCATGGCCAATCTGCAGCTGCAGTACTGTACAATACTGCTGTACCTTCACGTTTTCCAAAAAATTCTAGGAATTTGCGGCTTTCGGAACACGTAAGATGCGCAATGAACTCGAGCCAAATTTCGAACGTGGAGGGAAGAATACTCCAATCAAGGACCCTGAAGAACTACGTTACACCAGAACACTCATTCTCTAGCATCCGGTCTGCTCAAAGTCCATCCTATCATTGTGCAGCGTCGCTTCCGGGCCAGCGGAAGAAGATCATGCTTCTCAAGCTGCTTTCTTGGGCATTTGCAGCCGCTGTCGCGATAGGACTGCTGGTGTGCATTGCTCTCGGCCTGCTCTCGCTATCTCAGTATATTGAGACGCATTCTGGCAGAGCGAGGAGGCTGGGATTGAATCTGCTCTATGCTAGCTCCGTGATCCAGATAGTCATTGTCGTCTTTGACGACGTCCCGCTGGTGCCAATTCTGCCAAACCTACTCGCGAGCTTGCTACACCGAAGAGCCCTTTCCCATACCCAGTGGCCCTACGTAACGGCGGTTACTGGCTCTCAGGTCGGCCGTCTTGCAAGCACCGCTGCGTCTCTTCTCCTCCCACTTATGTCACATATCTGGCTGGTTCGACATCACACCTTTACCGCGCGTGCCTGGTCCCAGCACCGATACGATACGATCCATCGGGCAAAGTTACCAGGAGGCAGACTAGACTGGGACATCGACCCCACCGCCGAGCCAACAAACGCAGAGATGTCGAACCTCGAGGTGTGCGCCGTGCTCACCATCTGCATCTGGTCCGTACCGATCTGGAGGATTCTCGGACGCGTTGCTGCAGCGGATTGGGGTAGTTCCGGAATCGATGGTGTCGACACTGCCAAGACCCGCGCCGCACGCGAGTCGCGCGAAGCGGTGGAAGCGCTACCACGACAGGTCGTCATTTGACAGCTGCCAGCAAATGCGATTATGATATCTATACTAATGCCCTACATGTCTTCAAATGAGGCGTGCCCGTGCCCCCCATGCGAATATGTCCGCGACGTGTCAAAGAGGCAGCGAACGACGGCTTTAGAGGAAGAGACCCAGAATGGTGGCACAGGAGGCACCAGTGATAGGCCAAGGACTGGATCTGAGGGCGGTACTGCGTTGCAGCGAAACACGGTAAATGTCCGAACGGCCGACCACCGGAAGAGCAGGCGCGACAATTAATGCCGGTACAATTACTCTTTGTGCTGCGGGGGCAGCAGATATGGGGTCTGGGACTGTCACTGTTACGACGGCGTAGAGTCCATGTCGGAAAAGGCTTTGTTGTTTCGGTCAAATTCGGCCGTCGACTGGGCCAGCATCCGAAAATAGGCAGTAGCTAGATCATTTTGAAGGATGAGTGGTTGGCTGCTGTACTTCGTTGCCTGGGTGAGCTAAGCGAACTGCGTCCTAAAAACTTCACACAGGCACAGGGCAAAATAGCACGAAGCGAACCGGAAGATTTATAGCGCGTGTCCGGCCCATGCACATAGCCGGTCTTCACACAGCACAGCTACAGCGGTGTCCCATCTTACTCACCAAGACCTGCCACCAGACCCTCTTGACAGGAGCAGTACTGCAAAGCTATTCTAGGCGTGACGGACTTGCACGGGTCTTGGACACATCTATCAGCATCTCCGAAATGGCAGTATTCGGCCTCGTTGCATCTAAGTGCCAAGCAACTTCGAGCAGAGATGGAATGAGCAACGGGTTATGGTTTTGTGATGTGTGTGTGTGTGTGCTCTACTGAACTGTACATGACGATGTGTGGCCTCACGCCCTCTTCCCCGCACTGCACACACTACGCACTGTGATTTTGAATTTCCTCGAGCCATTATTTACTACTCTACAGTAGTGTGCGTCACAATTTGACCACAGTAGTGCTGTACTGTATTACGGCCAGTCGGCCTTTTCCAGGTAGCCGTGGTGACCTGCAACGGACTAGCCGACAGGCCGGAGACCATGGTTGCATCACACCGCACCGCACAGCAATCTTGCAGACTTTTTGATGTTGGCAGCCGACAGAACAGCCTGACAGCCTGCTCTACACGCACAACCTGCTCTACACAGCAACTGGCTAGCCGACGGTCTCCGAGAACTGTAGTGGCCGCGGTGCCAAATCCATACTGCTTTGTGAGATTGCTGCTGCTTGCGAGCGGCATTGTCTATTCCCAACTCCGGCTGCTCCGCGCTTTGCCACACTGTCATTCTGCCCAACCCCCGGCATCTCGTCCTTCTGCAGCTGCACCTTCCCCCGCGCTTCAACATATCCTCGATCTGCAAACATATTCGTCTTCTTCTTCTTCTTTTAGCATCCCTTCCTACCATATATACATCCGCTCTATTCACCTCATCACGCCCGAGCCAAGTCCACATTCATATCATCACCACCTGCTAGTCATCATGTCCAACGCGCTCAAGAACACCCTGCCGGCTCTTCGACGGGCCACCGCCGCCTCGTCGCGTGCGCCCGCCTTCGCCACTGCCTCGACATCCGCTGCTTCCTCTTCCTCAGTTCCTGTTCACGCTCGAGGCTATGGCACCACTCCCGATACTGCGCCTGAGCAGTTCAACATGACCAAGTTCAGCAAGTTCAACTGGGAGGACCCCATGTCCATGTTTGAGTCGCAGCTCTCGGAAGATGAGAAGGCCATCGCTCAGACCGCACATGACTTTTGCCAGGAGAACCTCCTCCCCAAGGTCACCGAAATGTACCGAAATGAGTCATGGGACCCCACCATTCTCCCATCGCTCGGTGAGCTCGGCCTGCTTGGCGCCACCATCGACGGCTACGGTTGTGCCGGTGTCAACAGCGTCTCGTACGGTCTCATTGCTCGAGAGGTCGAGCGTGTCGATTCGGGCTACCGCAGTATCATGTCCGTCCAGTCTTCGCTAGTCATGGGCCCAATCAACCAGTTCGGTACCGAGGCACAGAAGGAAAAGTACCTACCGCGTTTGGCCAAGGGTGAGCTTGTGGGCTGCTTCGGTCTCACCGAGCCCAACCACGGCTCCGACCCCAGCAGCATGGAGACCACCGCCACCGACACTGGCGATGGCCACATCATCCTCAACGGCTCCAAGACCTGGATCTCCAA